TCCCTCGCTGTGGGAGTGGCATCAATTCTACTCCCATCAGCTGCTGAGGGGAGCTGCCCAGTGGAGCTGGGCAATCCTCCCATTTTGGCACTAATCCTTATGCGGCGTAAAGGATGCACCGTTTCGCGATTAAGGTACCAGTAGCACCAATGTGGTGCTTTGAAGAGTCAAGTTGGTACCCTTTTTCCAACCTCTCCCTTTGGTTAATCCGAGGTGAACATAGCGAATCAGAATGCGTCAAGCACCTTTGCAGCATACCGACACCCCCCGTAGTTTTGAAACCCGCATGTTCCAAAATCTGCTTCAGCACATTTGTCCTTTAATCTACTCCAGCAACAAAACCATCCAACAAATGACCATACATCCTCCGTGAACTTGTAAAAAAGGAGCCCATGGCTTTGAAGAAAACATTCAACTAATTCTGAGTGATGACGCATGGGGACTTCCCAACATATGTTTGATTTGGGCTGACTGTGCTGGTTTAGGCTGGCAAAAGGTCAGGCTCAAGCGATGCTTCCTTTTGGTCCTCTTGTGGTGCCCCCTTTCGGTTTGCTTCTGATCTCCTTGTAGTCTACTGACACCTCACAAAAAGGTGGATTCTCTTTGTGTTTTTTGGACGTCCATGCTTAGCAGAGAGAGGCCATTTGCCAAGAGTCTGGCTCCCTATGTTTGACCCAACGATGCATCCTTGGAACTGGATTCCCCAAACCAGCTGCGAGAATGATGACTGGCATTTGGGCGGCACATTCTCTGAAGGACCGTTGCGTACACGTTGCTTCCGGCCACAAAATAGCCAGTGCCATTTTTGTTAGTTGTCCAGCTGGCTTGTGTTTGGAGACTGCACGGAGTTTGTACTTTGTTGGTACACGCGCACACGCACATGTATAGATAAGCAGACAACATATATATATATATATATGCTCATATTTAATATGTATGTACGCAGGTTTGCACATATATGTGTTTGCAAGCTTGTCTTAAGCAAGATGTGCTTTTGTTGCGGGAAAGTGGCTTCGTTTGAGAAAGGCCCGTTTGCGGCATGCAGTCTGAGGTTGCAACCTAAGCGCTGCGAGAATTCGATGCCGTCGGCTGGAACTGCCACAAGGCAAGTCTGAGACAATTCCATCAGGCCCCCTTAAAACGGTTTCGGAGGGGTATTTATTTTAGGATTTTTTTCGTTTTGTTTTTGATTTGCTTTTTCGCTTTTGGCTTTTGGGCTTCTTGGCTTTTCGGCTTCTTGGCTTCTTGGCTTTTTGGCTTCTCGGCTTCTTGGCTTTTCGGCTTCTTGTTGGTTTATGCGGCTTTTGGTGGCTTTTTGGCTTGGGCTTTTCGCATCCTCTGCATTCCCAGTTCCTCTATTTTGGCTTTTGCGGCTTTTCGGTGGTTTATGCGGCTTTTGGCAGCTTTGGCTTGTCGCATCCGCTGCTTTCCCAGTTCCTGTCCGGGCGTTTTGGCTCTTGCACCCTTTCATTGGTTTCTTGGATTTGGCTTCCCGCATCATCAGCATCACCAGCTGTCTCCCTATTTGAATCATCACTGGGGGGGCTCCCCCCCACCCACCTGCTACTTAGATTGTTTGCAGAGTATTTGCACCCCTATTTGAATCAACACTTCTTCAAACATCATGGTGGGGGCTGCCGCCTCCCCACCCCAACCCCCCGCTACTTTTTAGATTTCTTGCAGAGATTTAACTGCATTCCTATTTGAATCATCACTTTGTCGAGCGTCCAATTTCACGAGAAAATGCTGTAAAATACGACATTTCAGGTAATCTATGTAGTCCATGTATGTCTGTATGTATGCACTTCTGTAAACTATGTAATCCATATATGTCTGTATGTATGCACTTCTTCGAACATCATAGGGGAAGCCACCCCCGCCAACCCTCCCGCTGCTTTTTGTAAATTTTATCGCACCCGTTCTTGAATCATTGCACCCCTACTTGAATCATCACTTCTTCGAACATCATGGGGGGGGCTGCCGCCCCCCCAACCCCCCCGCCAAGTTTTAGACTTTCTACAGAGATTTAATTGCACCCCTATTTGAATCATCACTTCTTTGAACATCATGGGGGGGCTGCCCCCCCCCCCCCCAACCCCCCCGCTACTTTTTAGACTTTTTGCAGAGCTATTCGAATCATCACTTCTTCGAACATCATGGGGGGGGCTGCCGCCCCCCCAACCCCCCCCAACCCCCCCCCCCCCCCCCCGCTAAAGTTCTTTTTACAGGGATTGAAATGCCCTCCTATTTGAATCATCATGTTTTTGACCCCGTCAACCTGCCAGCTACTTGTTTGATTCTGTTACTCACAATTTGTGTGTGATGCTAGGGATGTTGGTCGGACATGTGGGGGATGTTGAAAACGATGCTGGGGATGTTGGCGGGCTAGTGTAAAATGCGTCAATTTTGCGAGAACATGCTGTAAAATACGACATTTTACGGCCCGACGTAAAACGAACAAACAAACAAAAAACGCACCCCCTTAAAACGGGGCTCACACCCGTCCTGGCAGGGCTCCGCAGGTTTTCAGCCAACAAGAAGCCGAGGGCTTGTAAAGACCTATGCCTGCCACGCGGAAAGCGAGTGATGGCCATCTTTACCATGGAAAGGCTGTTTGGTGCTAATTGACGCGCGAACTTGAAGGCGGGATGCGTCTCTTCGTGTTTGATCGCTTTTTTTCTGGGCCAGCCGTGCTGCGCTCTGCTCAGTGCCAAAGAAGGCCCGTGTCATCGAGGGAGCTGTGACCTGTGGCGATGGAACCACGGGCCGCCACGTCCAAGAGGGGATGCACGGTCGCAAAAGCCGTTTTGTTTTACCTGTGGCTTCCATTTGCTTAATAATATGTTTTTCCCTTGTTGGTTTCAAAGGGAATCCATCACTAGGGGAAATATTTTTCTTTTTTTCAGGGGACTTCAGCACATGGAGGGTAGCCAAGGGCCCAGCTTCCGGATGTCTTGCATGTGCACGCGTCCATAGGACTTATCAAGAATTTGCACCGGAAGAGTGGCCTCGTCTCGGAAAAGAGCGCCTTTCGGGTCCGGGATAAAGCCCGCCATGGGGCCAGTCAGCCTCTTGGATTTGCCCCCCCCCTCCCCCAACAAAAGAAGAAACAACTGCGCCAACAGTCAAATCAATGGTTTCTGTTGAGTAGGAGTTGGGCAGGGCTCTAGTTGGGCAAATTTGAAACTTCGTCGGATTTGGGTATGGGATTGGGCCAATGCCAAACTTGTTTTTCCAATTGAGTCTTGCCGGTTCCCAGCTAAGCACCCCTGGGGGAGGTTTCCCTGCCAAGCTGAGAAGAGGGGCTCTTGGCAGCTTTGGGTGACGTCTTTGGCTGAAAAGGCCGAAGCGAAACACGAGAATGGGATGAGAGAAATGGGATTGCTTCTTTGGCTGGGAAAAGCTTTTTATGACCCCTAGACCAATGAAAAACCAGAGGCACACGAGGCTTGGTCCATGGTAGGCCGCAACCGGCCAAGCAAACTCACGGTGCCTATGCTTTCCGATGAAGCTGCCCGAACCGCAAGCTGCGGATTTTTGATTGGCAAAGCGCCGGTTGGGTTGCATCCCTGGTCCCCTGGATGCGCTTCTTCTTCTTCGGCTTTCAGAGAGTTCTAAGCTCCGGGCCGTGCCTGGCGGTTGCTGGAAACATCCGGGGTCTCAAACAAGAGGAGCCCAAACAAAGGGAGCCCAACCAAAGAACGAGCTTTGACAATCATGGTATTCTAGGTTTCTGACAAACATGCATGGTATTCTAGATCCCCCGGTACTGCCTTTTAATCACCGTTTCTTTTTTGGGGGATGAGGGTTCCCCTACTAAAATCGACTACAGAAAAAATCGGGTACCCTTATTCTAACCTTTCAAATCTGGAGGACCCAGCTATTAAATTTGACGTTGTTCCATGTCGTCTTAATCGCCTTCGGGATGGCGATCTCGCCCACTCGCCACCTCGCCCAGTGCGCAACAAGGTCAAGACGACCAGGCTTTCCCAGCCAATTGTCGGAGAACCAACTGTCCATGTCAAGTTTAATCCTTATTCTAGATGGGTTGCGTGACGGTTTCGTGGTGTCCCCCGTTCTTCTGCTTGTAGACTACGATTTCGGCTTAGAGATCTCCCATTTTCCCAGCTTGCCATGGGAGTACACACGTTAACAATGGCGTTGCATAGGAATCCGCGTTGAGTTCAGAGCATTGGCCGGGCATCGGCTCATGCCAGGAAGCCTGCCGATCTTGCGCCGGTGCTCAGCTGAGGGCGGAATCAGGCGGCGGAAATAGGTTGTATTTTTTCTGGGCCAGAGCGTCCATTCCCCCTGTGTTTTTTGCTTGTCACGGGGACGGGAGTTCCACTTTAGTATCACAGATTGTGCGCGGGGCAGTCCATGTTCCCCCTGTGTGTGTGTGCGCGCGTGTGTGTGTGCGCTTGTGCGCGTGTGCGTGTGCGTGTGCGTGTGTGTCAGTAGCGACACTCGAAAAGGGCTAGGGTCGGTGTTGTTTCAGAATGACCCACCTAGACCCTGTTGTCCAACACATACCCCCATTGGATTGGAGGAGTGCCCCAAAATTTAGCCAGTATGTGGGGAGTTAATGATTCTATGGCAGCAAGAAAGTTCCCCGTACGGCAAGACTGATGTTCCCAGGATATCCGAGGATCACTAGGAGCGCTCAACAGCTGCCAAACGAAAAACCAAGCCCCGATTGTCGCAGTGCAAGTGATAAACCACCAATTCATGGTTTAAAGGCCAAGAGGTTACGAAGCAATTCGCTTTGTGTTCAGCGCTGGCAAGCGGTAGCATAAGCTGATTAATTATTACACAGAATGAGCGCCGTTGCCATGAAGCTTGATTGTTTTTGGGCAGATTCCGCAGTACTTGATGTTGTCTTGGTGAGTGTCGTGTTCGTTGGCGTTCCCTACGGTTTCTGCGGAAACACCCAAGCTTCATTACTCTCTTGTTTAAGCCCAAATCCTTCCGCTTGGTGGCACGCTTGTGCGTGCGCTATTGGCTCAGGATGGGCGTGCGGCCCCGCTTTGCGGCATTTTGTTTTTTTGGCCATGGCTTTCCACGAGAGCTTCTCGCGGACGCGGTCCGTGTCATGTAAAGAGACCTCCGAGCAGCAGATGGACGATGCGCTGGTGCAGGCCGTGAACGACGCCATCGTTTCGCAGGCATTTAAGTCTGCCGTGGAGGAGAGCTGAATGCATTTGCATGTTCAACAAGCTGTTGTTCACGTATTCAGAGGGAAACCTACTTCTTTAGTCTTAGTTTGCGGGGTTTTGAGGGGCCGGCAAAAGGTGCCTCGCTGTGCGGAAGCAACCTAGCCTCGTCGGATCGGGCCAAATAAGGAGTGGGTTCTCGGTCAGGACTGCAGATTCTGCGTCACAGTGGCGAACCCGCAGGGTGAAGATTGCCCGCTGATCGCTGTCTCCAAGGAATTTGAGACGATGACAGGCGGGTGCCCTAACGAAAGGCCCAAGAATATGGTTTCGGGGAGTCGAGTTTTCGTTTGGCCCGACCCGACCGCAGCATCTCTTACCTCAATCGTGCCTGAAAATACCAGTGCTTAGGTATTTGAACAAAATCCTTGCTCGTTTTTAGCTGCACTGGAAATTAGAGCTTCTTGGGCAAAGCTCATGACTCATTTCTCGCCGCAAAAAAAGCGAATTCGCCAAGGGTATCATGTTGTCAACAAGGGCCAACCAAGGGCACGTTGTCTTGCGATTATCCGCACGATTTTTTTGGGACACGTGCGGAAATTTCAGTACATTCGGAGAGTGGAACGTCTCTCTCCAGGTTACACGCGGAATGAGATCCTGGGCGTCAACTGTCGCTTCCTCAATCAGGGCGTGGACATGAATCCACAGGAGCGAGAACGAGGAATTTCGAGGGGGTGATTCCTGGTCCATTCTTTTCAGCCATCGTTCTTTGGATTTCAAATGTCCCCAAGGTCTTTGGTGGGTTTCTTTTGAAAGATTCGGATCAAGAATGGAAATGGCAGTTGCCCCTAGAATACCCCCCAACCCCCCAACCCTAACCCAACCTAACCCCCCAGCCCTAACCCAACCCAACCCCCCAACCCCCCCCCTTTGCGGAGTGAGACTCTTGTGACGACCTCCCCACTTGAGCCGATCCCAGTCCCGAACGGGAAAACTGGCCAAAAGTTTCAGCCCTCGCAGGCGCAAGGATCTGATTTTTTTTTCCGGGTCAAGGTGAATCAATACCAGGTCCAGAAATGTGCCGTTCCTTTCTCACCGTTCCTTTCTTGGTTGGGAGGGGTCCCCTAAAATAGACTACCGAAAAGAGGGTACCCTTATTCTAACCTCTCTACTGGAGGACCTAGATAGAATACATTCCGGGCGTTTCAGGTCGTTGAATGATTGTGTTTTACCTACATGAACATGTTGCGCAGGGATCGGCCATCGCATTTCGCTGAAAGAGACTGCTGGTTATGGGCTACAGAATTGTTTGCTGCTTGATTCTAGAAAACAGGTTGGATGCGCTTTCTGTGGATGTCAGTTGTTCTTCCACTGTTCATATCCTATAGGGGTGGATCCGCAACTGCCACATCCAATTCCATTTCTAGTTTGATGAGCTGGTTGCTTGTCTTCTGTGGTGATGGGCCTCAGCGCCATTGACACATCCCCATACTCTAAGAAACATGGCATTGAGGGAGGGCGGTTGACCACTGGACTTTCTTATGCAGTTTGCTTCCTTGCGCCGAAAAATGGATACTTGGTTTTGGGGACACCCCTAACCGCCAAAAGCTCCCTAAGGCTGACGTGATCACACCATCCCGAAAGAAGCTGAAAGCAAAACTCTTGATTGCTGGGTCGGATCTTTAGACTTCAACCTCGTTGGTTGAAATCAAGTTCGTGCTCAACCAACCATTGAGATGATTTCAACCCATTTTGGGGTTCACCAAAAGTTCAACCCACCAAAAGTTCAAACATTTTTGAGACGAAACCCACCAAAAGTTCCACCCATTTTTTTTGCAGCGGGTCAACAGCAACCAAGTTTGCGGGCCTCACCTCGCGAAACTGGCAGCGTCAAATCCGCGAGGACCTGGCGCATTTGCGTGAAGCGAGTGCCTCAGGCGCGCCCTTTACAGCGATTCTGCCAAATCGAAAGAAGTCCGGGGAGCTATTTTTGAATTTGCTGGACGTGCGGGGGCTGACGGTCGCAAGCCCCTCGGATCGAAAGAGAGAGAGGGAGTGAGAGCCGGAGTGTGGCAGGAACTAGAAAGATAGGGTTGAGTCAGGGATACGAATCACACCCCCAAAAGTCTCCCTTGGATGGGGCGGGGTAAATACGCCTCATTAGAGCCAAATAAGGCGCTGTAAGGCCAAGTAGCACCTCTTTTTTGGGGGTGTTGTCTTTTTGGGGCTGGTTCGGGCTGTTTATGTTTCTGCTCAGGAGACAAGACAACAGGTGAGGAGCTTTGGTATCTTATTGGCATCCAAGCAGATGTGTCAGAACTGGGAGAGGAGCAGGTGCCAGAAGATCATTTCATAGAGCTACAGATGCTCTCCGATTTCATTCGGGACAAGATCATCAAGGACCAGCGCCATGGGGCTTCTGGACATGATCTGTTTGAACAATGAGTCTCATGCAGGTTTGAATTGACCAGTGCAGAAAGGCACTCTTCTGACCGGCACCCAGATGGATCCAAGTCGTTGCTACGGATCTTGGTTGTACCTAAACCATACGAGGTGCACATGCAGTAACTTGTTTCGTTCGGACGGAAGAGTATCCTGTTTAGTGATAACGGGGCACCTTTAAGATCAACAAACGCCCGCTGAGTACAGCAATAATTGAGACGGCTTAAATTTGTTGGGGTCAGCATCGCTTGTACTTTCTTGCTGCGTGAGGGCGTCACAATAGCTCGGCCATGAAAGCGGTTCTGCAACAGCAGTCCGCGTGGTTGGATGCAAATTTGCCCAAGGTGGATCGACCTTTCGTCTGCCTTCCCGTACTGTATGTTGGCGCATTTGGTTGTCAAGATGTGGCAGTGGCTCAAAAGTAAATAGCTAGGGTTACGCAGGTTTTGGTCTATGTTTCCACTTATCGGGAGCCTAGTGAGACTTTCTTGCAAGCTCATGTCGCATACCACGACACACCCCTTGAGTCCAAAGCCGGGCAGGGAGGGCTGGCAGCTTTCCATCAGGCGGTTCTCCCGCAAGATTTGTTCAAGCAAAATAAGCCGAAGCCGAAGGCCAAAATTTTCCCGCGGCCGGTTCCTTTGCATTTTTCCTGGCAGATGTGGCCATGGGTCAAAACCCCGTACCCCCAGTGAACATCCCAATCCCCACTAAAATAGACGAACATGGGTGGTGCACCTAAAACCCCAAAATGGGATACCATTGGTGTTGACCCACGGCCATGTTGGTGTGCGGGGGTGTGCCACCTCGATCTTTGCCTATGGCAGAAACTGGTTGGTGTGTTGGGGGCCTGCTTCCGTGCTGAGAACTTGAGGAATGTGTGCGAACGGTGAAACCCCAGACGAGTATTGCTCCACTCCTAAGTGTGCTGCTTGATTTTGGTTGGCATTGGTCATTGCCACTTCGATCTCTTTCCTCTCAAGCTGAAAAGGTAACTGTTGAGATTCCTACATCACTTAAGACTGCAACCTAGGTTTGGTCGGTAAAGCCTTTCCCCTCCAAGTTACCCTTGTGTCCTTACCATTTTCCTTTCAAGGGGCCTTTTTCGAATCAGGTTCCATGGATTCCATGGACAGGGTAAGTTTTGTTTCTTTGGTTTCCCGGAACTCAAGGTGAAACCGCCCATCTGCTCTCAGCCAATTAGCTGCCCCTCGCGCCCCCGCGCGGCCCCAACTTCAATGTTAAGATGCTGTGATGTCTGAAGCCAGAATGGTCTTTGTGTTTCTTTTCCGCAGGCTTTGTTCGTACGGGCCACATCCAACTTTGAACTTGGGGGATAAGAGGGGTGGATTTGGGGGGATGGGCTGTTTTTTTTCCCGCAGAACCCGGTAACCCCAAAGATGAGGTGATAACTTCCCGAGTTCATGGACTTTTCCCTCTTGCCCATTTTAGTGGGAACTGGTTCTTTCTTTTTCTCGGGGGGCCATCTTCAATTCGTTTTGTTTTGGGTAAAGAATGTCCTTTAGCATTTGTTTGTAAACTATACTAATCATCTTTTGCTGAAATTTGTGGGTTCACGCAGTCTCAGCCAACGTGAGGGAGGAAGCCAACTCTCGGCAGGAGCTTTCGGACTACGCGCTGGCCACCCAGGAGACGCGGCAGGGCTCCTGCTTCGAGCTGCTGCCGCGGCCCGAGTGGCGGCGCGGAGCGCCGCTCGGCAGCCGCAAGGACTCCAAGAGGCCGAAGGGCGAGTCCCAGCCCCAGGCGTGGAGAAAACGACCCGGGAAAGCGGAGGGGCGGAGGGGAAGGAGAAGGGGGGAGGGGAAGGGGACGGGGGGGGAATGCGACAAAATGTATGGGCGTGGCTCAAAATTCAAGAGCTAGGGTTACGCAGGTTTTAGTCTTTGGTTCCATTTACCAAGGGGCCATTTGGGTACATGTCGACGTGTCTTTAAGCCACAGCCAAATCACAAAAGACAAAAATATCAATGGTCAATTTGATTGGGGGGGAAAAAACAAGCGAAAAAGACATGAGCTCTCGAAAAAAAAAAAAAAGAGTCTCATCTCGTTGAGGCAACTGGGGGTCAATTTGTCTGAGCCCGTGAAGTGGCCCGGGGGTTGATTTGTTTGGGCCGGCACGTTCCACAACCTGTCGAATTGCCTCCCAAATCCCAAATTTGATTTCAAAAAGGCACTTAGTGCATCATTTGAAAGCCGTACAATGTACTGGCATTTGTCTCATGGCGTCCGTCACCCCATGCGTGTTTCCAGCTACCGCCATTGATAACCAGGGGATATCACCATAAAACTCCAGGCAAGTTGGTGGTTTTCCACGTGCGTCCGTAGTGGACGCTGGGACGTGAGGCAGGGAATCATTTTAGAAATGAAGGTTTGACTTTTGGTTTCCCAAGCAATCCCAGACCTTCTTCCACAAACAGGCCACACACACACACCTATGCTGGAAATGGTGCAACAGGCGAAAAGAGGCTTGGGGTGAAGAGACCGGTGAATTGATGGGAAGTCACTAGAAGTTGGGTGGGATGCCTCGACAGCCGGGAAGGAAACTACAGTCGAACTGCTGGTTGGATGCAATTCTTGAGGTACCCCAAAACATCGGGAGACTTTCCCTTTCAGATCCCCGAGAAACGGTACTTTGATTCTTTGGGCCAAAAGTAGCCAGCATAGTGCCTGCACAGCAGGCGGATGTCGCGAAAAGGCGGATCAGCGTCGGGCTCGGGCTGAGCCTCTTTGCCGTAGGAGCCGGATTAACGATTTTCTTAATGCGCAGACGTGCACGCGGATGATCGTAGTGTAGTGAATTTCTGAATGCGATCGCAAAAAAAAGGAGGGAGAGAGAGAGAGAGAGAGAGAAAGAAAGAAAGAAAGAAATAAAGAAAGAAGAAAAAAAGCGAGAGAGGGAGAGAGCGAGAGAGAGAGAGAGAGCCAACCGTGCGAAGGAGCAGTCTTGCTTAGTCGGACTTAAGGGCACAGCCTTTGCCAGTTGCAGCCAGTGTTTGCCCAGCGGAAGCCTTGGAATGCACAAACCAACTCTTTTCTTATTTTTTTTAAGAAGGAGGTTCTCAAGGGGTACCTTGCCCATTCGTTCCAGGGATCCTTCTTTTCAGGAAACCATCAGAAACGCAGGGGAAACAGCCAGCTTTTGAGAAGAACGATGGTTGAAAAGAATGGGGAATCAACCCCTAGAACTAATAGATGTCCAACTGGCCATGGCGCCTCTGCTTCTCAGCCAAAATTGTGCCAATTCTCAACTTAAGGGACGCGTACGCGCGGCATTGGATGTGTTTGCCTGGTTTGACAGTTGAAGTATGTTGAAGTAGAGAGAAGGAAACCGCGACAGCCTGTCATGAGCAAGCCTGGTGGCAGCCTAGTCCCACTGTTGCCAAAGTACCCAGTAGCCACAAAGCAGAATACGAGGCCATGGAATTTCAAGAAACAAACTTCAAAGTGGGCGGACATGAATTGCCACCACGATGTCCACCATGCCCCGAATGGAAGTTGCTCATAGCGCGAGGAAAAGACGATCAATGGACCTTTTGGTTCAATGGCACAGCCATCCTCAGGAAGCTTCTTTCAGGACACCTCATGCATGTCCAAGGTGTGTTGGAGTGCCAAGCGGCTCACTTTCTTCGAAACTATGCGGCGTGCGTTGGCTTTGGTTCTCATGCTGATTGTTGAGAGTTACTTCTGCTTTGTTTGTTGCCAGTCGGTTTGCTACAGCTTTAACCAAAGCCTAAACCCTAAAGGAACCAGAAAGTCTGCCAGAGGATCCATGTAAATTCACCTCTCCAGTCGTTTGGCCCGGTTTTTTTCCCCCCTACATCAATGGGGGCATGAATAAGCCCTGCTTGGCCGGGAAACCTAACTAAACTCATTTTGTTTGGAGGGGAGACCATTTTAGTGGTAAATGTAAAGTGTTTTTTTTTTGGGGGGGGCATCCACTCAGCAAGCGAGTAAAGGAAGCCAAGTGTGGTTCCCCCTTGTCTTTGCGAGTTTCAAGAAATGTGGTTTCCCTCAGTGTTTCAGTGGCTTTGAGAGTATGCTTGACCTTTTCAAGCCCCAGCTTTCCACATGCTGAGGCAGGATGCGCTGAGTGGAAGCTGATAGGTGCCTTCGGGTTGTCTCCGTTTTGGTGTTCGGTCATAGCCATACCAAACGGATGTCAAAAGGGAAACCACTCATTTTGAGGTTTTTCACATGAGCAAAGCCACCCGGGGTGATGGAACCGGCCAATTGACATTCTTGGCAATCAGAGATCTTGCTCGATCAGGGTGACTCGTCAGAGTTCATAATTTCTCTTGGTGCAACAGTTCATTGTTCCGAAGTGATGTCCACATCAAGGTACCGATGTGTTGCTTGTGGGAAACACTCTTGTGCAACTGAAAGGCACTCAAGCTTCAGCTTTGAAGCCTCGCTCCAAGTGCCAAAAGGGCACCAAAGTTTGGATGCGAAGGAACGCCGCAAAAAGAATGTTAGCCTGGAGTGTCCTGAACTGGTGGCACCCTGATCTTGGTATGGAGCCCCTATTTTCTGAGGTATGATACCAATGAGCCACACAAGTAGACTCACATGGTCGAACAAAATCAGCAGTATGATGGTACCTTTCCACGTTGAGTGTGCACATATTTGATCACGATGAGTTCCAATTAAGTTCGCGAAGCAAGACACATACAGTAGTTTCCGTGAAACATCATCCAATGCAGGTGTTTTCCGGTTTTTGTCATTTTCTTGCTAGGCTTTTCACGGGGCTTTCCCTTGAACTGCATCACTTGCAGCATTGACAGCACAGTGCATGGTGTCTGAACCTGTGGTCATGCTCCATGTCTGCTTTGCCTGGGGGCTGGCCCTAGGCCAACTGAGTTTCAACGTGATAAGCACAGCCTTGCACTAAGCACTGGTTCCATGTTCAATGCCAAAACTAGTAAGCAAGACTGTCGCTGAGTATTAATTACCAAGGCTAGTCCTGCAGGTTCCATGTCTAAAGCAAACTTGTTCAACGCCTTGGTCCAACCCTCCTCACTGTTCGATTCAAGCAACGACATGTGAACGTGGCCAGCATTCAGCCATCCAAGGCATCCATTTCCCTGTTTGCAGCAAAGAAAAGGGAAGTTGTCGTAGAGACATTTCCCAGTTTGTTTGCTGTGTTTTGTCTTGTTGTTGTTTTCTTTGTGGGAGAGGGGGGCAAAGGTGAAATATCATTTCGTTCGTGACAGTTCCTTGTTGAGTTCAACATACGTCCGAAATGGGCCTGGTTCAGTCCCGTGAAGCACAGGTTTATTCTGCATGCTTTGTTAGGGAAGTGCAAGCAGTTCTTCCTGACCCACTCACTCTCAAGAAGTGCCAGGATCTTAACGACGACAAGTAGAGGACTTTCGGTATGTATTTCGGTTAGAGCAACCCTGGCAAAAGCTGAACAGTACTTGGAATGCATGGACCCCTTGACGGCACTCTCAGTACAGCCAGCGGTCCCTGATCATTTCCAGCTTTTGGCCCTCGTGGGTTTCCTGCATGTTTATCTCATCTCCCCTTTTCACCAACAACTTCAGTTTGCTGCAGCGTGTCGAAGTTTGGCAGAGTGATGTCTTTCTTTCTTGGTTCGCAGACTTCGGATTCAGTGGCGGCTAAAGGGACATGCACTCGGCAAGAAGAAGCTTTCTTCTATACCAACCCATTGTGTGAGTTGGGTTGTTTGAAAGAAGCTGGTGGTCAACTTGATCCAGAGGCCTGAGTTGTTGTTTGGGTGGACCAGATGTTTGGTTGAGTCTTTGCGAAGCATCCGGAATGATACGCGCATGAATATATGTATATATATATATACATACACATATGCAGTATTAATTTGTACAGCTTAGGGTGAAGGATTCGTGCGCATCAAGGTATGAGACAGTTCCCGGCTTGAGCCCCGGAGGAGGGGCCTTGCCATGGCATGGCGATGGCTTTTCCTACAGGCAGGGCGTGTCCGTTTGTTTTGTTGTAAACGGGTCCTAGCCAAGGTGCGGCGCCTTCAGTAAAAACATGCAGAATAAAGCAAAATCGATGTGTTTGCTCTGAAACTGTAGATGTGGACGACATCGTTTTGGCTTTACAGAGGTCGGGATGTAACGGTGTGCATTCTGCTCCCCAGCTCCAAACAATAAACGTCACGGAAGCTTCAGATCAGGAGTACCACAAGGTAGTCCGTTCATTTCAGGTGACTTGCCAGTTGTTTGATAGCTGCCCATTGACCTCGCAAAGGTGCACCAGGTTTCACAGAATCTGGGGATATCTAAAGACAACTTTCGGATGAAATATACACCTGAGAACAAAAGAAATTCTCAGGCTAGCGGCCCGCTCTGCGGTGCTCTTTGGTCCAGCGAGAGATAGCCACTGGCGTGGAGCAAGGGATAGCAACATGGCACCAACCAACGAGGGAAACCAACTAGGGATACCGGAAAACCAGGGATACGGGAGCATTCCTAAATGCACCTTGACTAAGTTTGATATGAGAAATGGCGCCAATCCCCCCATATCCCCGCTCCCGTATCCCCGCTTTGTTTGTCCAAAACGAGCAAGTGCAAAACGGAGGTTTCCAAGCACCAGCCAGCAGAGCTCTCGGCTATCCCAATTCTTGGGGGAGCGCCGCTGGATGAGACTTCTCTCCCACACGCGCTTGGGAAAACACAACACGCCTTTGCTTGTTTCAATCGTGCAATCGTTGGCCTTTTTGCCCCATGCCTGTTGGAAATGAACCAACAGGCTCGTGCTCGGGAGCAGCCCTGTTGTGTTTCACCTTTTCATCACCTTGGGTTGACGCATAGCAAAATTGCTCACATGGCAAGCGGTAAACCTTTTAACTTCCATTTGCTGAAATGAATCTGTGTGTTTTCCCCTGTCAGTTTGTTCAACGGAATCTAGCACTACCGGACATACTGTTTCCACTTGCCTAAGAATATGTGTTATTTTCGCTGTTGGTTTTCAGTTTTCAAGGGATATATATATATATGTTTTTTGCAGGGGGCAGCAAATGGATGTTGAGCCGTCAGCAGCTGCTCCACCAGACTTGCACCGCACGCCTGGGACGCGGCCACATGTTCAGAGCGCCTTCGCGGGCTGCTCCCGGGCCGGCCCTTTGCCACGAGCTGAGCCGGACCCATGCGAGGGACTCTGAATCTCGACCCGGGCTTGTGAAATTTGGTTGGGTTGAGTGACCCTGTTGACCCCAGACTAAGAAACCCCTGTTTATTCAGAGGTGTTGCTGGTTTTAGTGGGGGTTCATCACTTTTGGAGGGGAACGCCGCCATATTAAGTTCCAGGGCGTTCTTAATCCGGGGTCAACATTGCCAACCATCCCTTGTGTTTGCCTTTAAGGGAATGCCTAGGTTCATTTCAACATTTCCCCTGCAAACGGCACCAGAAAGGGCGGCAACAGGGTCCAAAAATGGACCATACTTTACTCACATGGGATCACATGGGTGTGTGTCAGAATTGGGATAGCTACCCCAAACTTGGGGGGTCCTCTTTTGGTTTCCGCGTCCACCAAGCGACAAATGGTACCCTCACAAAAACGCGCACGCTTCCGTGTATGTCTTTAGGGTATTCAGTTTGAGGTTTATCAACCAAAATCCAGAGAACAACCACCAGTTTTGGGGCCTTCAAGTCCAAGAACTATCCCTGCTCCAATCTACGCCGGGCAATTCATGGCGCGGGAGTTGCAACCTCACCCGTGATGAAGGTTCCTTTCTTAGGGGGGTCTCTTATCGCTGATTTGTTTGGGCCATCATGATTTGCCCTGATTGTTAGATTTGGGCCACTTTGATTTTCCACAGATTTGACCTGGTG